GAGACCCTTGCCATCAATACTGATAGCGAGAGGCCAAACAGGATATGCAAAGCCATCACTGGGATGAGATTCAGTTGTCCAAATACAAGTCTGTGGAGCCATTTTAAACAAATGTATCCTACCCTTTGTGCTGTTTTTAGATAACTAGCCAACTCCCTAGCTGTCTTCACCTTTAATTCTGTATGTGAATTCAATATCCTTTGATTACTGACTAGCAGTTAGTCTTCTGTTTATATCTTATCCCTTTAAAACTCTACATTTCCTTCAGTGATACTTGAAAAAACAAATTACAGCTTTTAAACACATCTGAGAATTGCCAGTACAACAATTGGCAGAGTACTCTGTATATCACACAGTTTAGCACAGCTGTCTCCCCTATCTGTTACTTACATATGGGATTCACTAGACTGTCAGAAGTTGCTTTAAACAAACCAATATAATTATTGGAAATTGCAAAGGCACTAACTTGGATAAGGCTTTACTAGATCTTGCCTTGCTCAGTTAAAAACATCATACAATATAACTGCATAATGTAACTGAACTATAACTGGAATTCCTATTTAGATTTGAACTCCAAATTTCCTCATAATATGACCAGTCATCTCATGCGTTTTTAGTTTACATCATCCGTTATTAGTCTGCATTATTTCAGTGAACTGTCAGATCAAATGTGATTGCATGTGAACTAATAATATTACACTGAGTTTAAGGTTATTCATCTGCAAAATGTGTATAATAATACCATGAAGGTATTCATTATATTCATTAATGGCAGTAAAGCCCCTGTAAAATTGGAAAAAGAAAAGCTTCAAGTTTTAAATACATTCTAACAAGCTTTATAGCACCTTGCTGCGGGGAGATGCTGAAAATGATATAATGGATAAAATTAAGCTAGAAACCTTCAATTACATTAAAAGTATTCTGTGCAGGTAGGGCACTGTCAGAGCTTCAAGATCAACATAAATTCAGAGTGAAATATTTGCATTAAGCTGGAATGTACTCCACTGCTTGAAGTGTCCCTGCGTTCCAGAGCAGTAAGGTGAATAAAAGGAAAGTTCAACAAAGTCCAAGCATTCAGGCACAGGGGTTTGGAAAGCCAAACCTCCCTGGAGATGAATCTGGAGAGAGATGTGAAGGACAACAAGAAACATTTCCAAAAGTGTAGCTACAGCAGCAGAAAGTCTAGGGAAGATGCAGTCCCAGTGCTGAATGGTAACAAAGAAGATTTACCCTCAGTACAGGAGGAGTAGGTCAGGGAATGTTTAAAGAGTGGGCATACGCAAGCCCATGGTCTCTGACAGGATGCTCCTATGAGCTGACTGATGTTGTTGTAGCCGCTCTTGGTAATCTTTGAAAGGTTATGGTGAGTAGGAAAGGTTCCTGAGAACTGGAAGAAGGCAAATGTCACTTCTATCTTCAAGAAGGAAGATCTAGGGAATTATAAGTGAGTAAGCCTCACATCAGTCCCTGTGTACATGATAAAGTAAATCCCAAAAGCAGTTTCCTTGACCAGCTTTCTACAATGAGATTACTAGGTCAGTAGATGTGGAGAGAGATGTGAATGTGATTCATTCTTTAGCAGGAATGTCAGCGTTGTCTCCCCTAACATTCTCAAATGCAAGCTGCTGAAGAGCAGGCTACTTAATCTATATTCAGGTGAACTGAAAACTCTTTGAACTGATAGGCTTAAAGGGCTGTGATCAGAACATCTGGGCTCCAAAGTGTTGCGATCAGTGGCACAAAGTCCATCTAGCCTGGCTGTGCCACCTTGCCATTGGTAACATGCATGGAAATAAGGCACCAATGCTGTTCTTAGACAGCCTGAACTCAGCTGTCCACAGATCAGTGCTCTTGTGACATGTGACACCAGTGTCTCTCTCAGAATGATGTCCAGTGACATTACTCCAAATGTAGGTAGGTTGTAAGAAGGTAGTCAAGGCAGATTCTGCAAGTCCAGGTCCTAATTATAACAGATAGATTTGTTTGGGGTCTGTAATAAAACAACACTGTTGGTCAGTAATGGCCTTTAGTGTAGGCTCTGAGCCTGCACTAGCAATATAGTGCACAAAGAGAGAGACTTTCAGCCTCTGTCTCTCTTCTGGGGCTGTGTAGAGGTAGAAAGGTACACTACAGGCTTAATTTATGGTGGAGTGTTAGCTTAAAGTACATTCCCAGTGCCTGCTATTCCTTAAGATGTGAAATTCTTTGATCTGTCTGTCTTACACCTTTAGATCAGTCCTTAGCTTGCTTGAACTTCAGTGGCATATAAATAATCCCATTAGTATTTATTGCAACTTCAGCCTAGTATGAGCTCTCTGAATTTTGTCATTAATTCTTTTAGGTGCAATATGCCAAGCAAAAAAGAAACAGACACAAGGGAATTGCTTAAACTGAGGGATTCAAACCAGCACAAAATAAGAAACTGTCAGCTGATGTATCTCCTAATACAATTTCAAGGACTTTCTGGGTCTAGGACATTATCCTTGCTCCCTCTAAGGATGATGTAGTTGATACTTGCCTGAGGGAGACATTGCGTAAAAAGGGATGCCATGTGTTGCCGATTCCAAATTTGTTGTTTCTAGTTTTCTAATAGTGGACAAGACTGTCCCTCATTTAGTGCTACTAACCTCTGGAGAACAGGACCCCTTTCCTATAACAGCTGCCAAAGAATCACTTTCCAAACTAGACAATTATTTTTCTTAAAAAAAACCCAAACAACCGCTTGGGGGGTAATGCATTCCAGTTTCCTGAGCTTTTCTGAGATGTATATTAAATTATACTGGCTTCTCACTCTGCTTTGGTCTGAAAATACTTCCTAAGCTTCTTTTAGTGCAATCAAACTGCAGAGCTGTTTCACATAGATACCCAGAAGCAGGAGCCACTCCCTCAAACAGCTCTTTGCTCACCAATGTCTTACCTAAAATGGATCCTGACTCTGAGTAAAATAATTATCAATCTGTTATGTGGATTCAGCGTTGGAGCTTCTTACCGTTCGTTTACATGGCTTATTCAGTGAAAACTTTATCTCATTGCTTAACTCATAGCTGATAATATTTCATAGCTGGATGAGCCTGAGTGAAGGTTTACACCTTCTGTAAATAAAGTGTATTACCTCTATACTGCAGACAAGCTCAAATTCAATATTCAGTTCTATACCTGGACAAAATAATTGCAGCTCCTTTAAAGATCTGGATAGCCTCTTGGTGTGGTGACAGGCACACAGGATTGTGTGATCATTAAAGAGATTTGTGGAGTGATTGTACTGCCTTGGTTCATAACATCTTCAGTGTGGGCTCATTTGTTAATTTTGGCCACAATTGCTCCCATCTGCAGTTGCAGGGAGAGGACCACTTGAATCATTCAGAATTAGCAGAACCCAATCATTCCAAAGCCTTTTCTGAGGTTCAGTGTTTGGAAGGAACCAGTTCAGATTAGATTTCCAGCTCTTAACACCAGCTCTTAACTTAGTGCACGAACAAGCAATTTTCATCAGGTTGAATGGATGTACCATTGCTGTGTGATGTTTAAAAACATACATAGTAAATACTCTTCTCTTTGCACCGGAAGGCAAGGAGAGTCAGATCAGGAAAACTTTGTACTTGATACTGGTAAAACTGTGTTTTATGGCACTGGAAAAGCAAATGATTATATGCTTGAAACAACGAAGTAACATCTGGAGAAGTAAAAGAAAAAAACGCAAACAACACTCAGAAAATAAGTTTGAAACAAACGCTTTTTGTAAGCTAATTGCTAAATAGGTAATCATGGAAGCCACAGAGGTGCAATAGAAAAAAGCAGACAGGCAGGCCAGGAGTACATGTCACTTGCCACATCATTTTACATGAATCACACTCAGCATACTGTTTTATTTATTTGTTTTTAATTTTTTTTTATTTGAAAGTATTTTTTTTCAAAGACTTTATAAGGAAAAGACAAAGACTTGCCTGACACTCTATCAGAGATATTAAGAAATCCATGACCTACCTATCAACAAAAGACTGAATAGGGTGAGAATAGAGTGAATATGGTTTTTGTTTTGACCTGACTCTTCAAGTGACTTATTGTAGAGACCCATAGGCTGAACAAGCAGTTCCTGGGAAAACAAGTGAATTACCTGAGGAAACTGGTTCTTCCTCAACAAGGCAATGTCCATGTGGGGTAATCTTCAAAGTAGGTGTATGCTTTTGCTTAACAGATGGGAGTTTGTGATCCAAGATAGTAAACTCCACATTTGTGATAGGGAGGGTGGCACTTTTCACCATTATAAAAGCTTTGACCAGTGGTATCTGCTTTATTTAGCAATTCTTTGGGGTCTTAAAGTTTTACCATGTGCAGCTCCACTGTTTGCAGTACCCTGGCACTGAAATGTTACCCTGGAATTAAAAATAGATGTGTGACTTTGAATTTGGGGAACAATTTTGATAGGTAATCAGTTAGTCTATCAGAAGCAGCCAGGTAATTCCTGCAGCTAGACTGACCCAACAGCAATAATAATCTACACTCTAGTTTACCAAAGTGCCTAACTACGTTCATTTACCTTTGATTTTCAAAGACTAGATAAAATTAGGCTGGCATTTTATCACTTTCATGTTTTTGCTGCACTGAAGCCTCACTAAGCTAACACTATTTTAATTCTTGTTGCATTTTACCTATATATTGTTTGTTGATCTGTCTACACATATGAGGGTAATCCAGTATTCTTCATAGGAAATACTGGGTGTTTTTTTCACAGGAACACATTCTTACTCATATAGACAATGTGTGTAGCTATGAATTAAAATAAAGTTCTTGCAGTGCAGAATCTTATTGCCGTTGCGGTCCTGGAGGAAGGAGGATCTCTGCTGCCTCTCAAAGATTCACCTTCTGAAATTAAACAAATGAGGTCATTTGCTGGGCATTGTGACAGTTATTTAGCTGTACTGCATTGACCTCACTATATATATATATATATATATATATATATATATGTATATAATTTTTTTTTTTTTTTGCTATTGCAGGGTTCCCAGCAGGAGAACTACAAAAACCTTTCTTTTGGGGAACAGAATATCCCAGGTAAGTTCTGCACCAGCAACCCTCATACACCTGAGAATGAGGAATAACAGGGAAAAGTATTGCAGATACATATAGATAAAGAAGAGGGCATGGAGAAGAAGGCTACTGGCTGTAGGGCAAATTTGGCCCTTGAGTTGTATGTTCTCTCCTGCTGTGTCCTGCTTTTATCATTGAAAGAACTCATTTTGAGAAGTCCTATTTTGTGTGATAACTTTTCTTACCCTTGGGTATGTGTTGCAGTCAGTTGTCTTAAACTGATGACTGATTTCTCACAGGAATTGCTAATTAAGTGCACCCAATTGAAAGTGTTTCAATGCTGAAGCATGAAGATGCAGCAGTGTGCACATGGCAGGTATTAAAAGGAATTGTAAATCAGGTAACTAACACTTCCTCAGCAGAAGTGAATACCCTGAGAAGCCAATTATTATCAGTTTATTGTTCACTTTCTGCTAATATCTAAAATTAACACTGAGCCTTCGTTTGTGCCTGTTGAGATGCATGAGAATATCTCCATGTGCATAAGTGATTGCCTGAGCTGGCCCATGTGCTACTGTAGCTGAGCAAGAGTAATTATAGGTCACACACGTTTAATTTTGAAAAATCACTGCTTTTGTGCATCAATAACTTTCTATTTCAGGGCAGGATAAGACCATGACAAGTTTCTGTTGGCAGTTTCTGAAAGTTTTTCTGGAGTTATATAAAGGCATTTACTGGTGAAACAAATCCTTAATAAATCTTTGTTAAAAAAAATCAAACTTTGAAGATTTTCAGTTTGCAATCTTTCAGTCTGGATTGTGTCCTTGTAAACAGAAAATTTAGTAATATATGTAGAAAGACATGTTCAATTTAGGAACAAAATAATTTGCATTCAAAGAGAATTCTTATGAGCCAGGTGACTTTCTAAGTGGTAATTGGGGATAGAAGAAAGTCCTTTCTTGTTAAGGTGAACCCTTTTTCTGTTATGGTGATTGCAGGCCTGTTTCCAGCTTTGCTTTCTGAAGAGATTTCTCTATATTCTGACCTTCTGCCATAGTGATAAAATTGTGGTTCTTTCAAAGTATTATACTTTGCTCATTTCTCATCTTTAAAGGTTACCTTAGCTTAAATTGGTTTTGCTTGAGTACATATCAAAATGGAATTTAGTAAACAAATGTAGCTGGTTTATATCAGACAACAGATTGCTTTTGTCCTTGAAATATTCTGGATGTTTTCTGTCTGCTTAGAGGAAAAAGTACATGGCAGTGGAACAGAAAAACCATCAAAAAGTCATCAGCGCTTGCTGGAAAACTGATTTAGCAAATATTTAACATTTAGTGGCATTTTATTGTCCAGTTCCAGCATAACCACCAAAAACCAGTTACATCTATTTGCATAAAGGGAAGATTAGTTATCACTTTGACATCTCAGTACATGAAATAACATACCATTCAAATGTCATCATTCATAGTTATGAGCCTTCACTGACAGATATATTGAAATAGAGAGTACAAACTAACTGACCTGGTAGCTTCCTTACAGTTTTCTGAGCATCCCCGGTCCCAGAAAGTTCCCCTTTAACATGATGTCTGCTGGGCTGCACCTAATTCCCTCCGTCTCTATCCAACTGTGCCCAGAAGTGAAAAGCATGAACAGTGCTGGAAAGATTTCTGGCAAAAAATATTGTTGAGATGGACAAAATGCTGAAGCAAAGGTCAAAATTCACCCCAAACTTCACCCCATTTTTTGGAGGTATGGAAAGATGTAGGAGTGCCAGAACAGCAGCCTGTTCTTTGTCGCTGCCACTCGCGGAGACCAAGAACGTTAGAGGAAGAACAAGATGTATTTAGTAATAGGGCTTGGTTCTTGATCTCATTATGTGTTTTGTGCCATTATATTTATAATTCTCCAGCTGCAAAATATCCCATATAACCACTTCATTTCAGATGTGTCTAACATAGTTGCATTTATTATGGGTAATTATTACTGTGTGCTACACAAGATAACAAATTTATCGCACAAAAGGAAGATATTTCCAGTGCTGAAACATGTAATTTTAACCAGCATTTTTTTAGAGAAGGTTTGTAATAGCACTTGGGGGGAAAAACAGTAGTGTAGATTTTATCACATACTTGAAAGTAACTTTCACAAAAGAAAAAAACAAAGTGAAAGATTGTCATGGAAGCAGAGGGAATTAAATGATACAGTACTTTTTGGGCATGTCTGAGATGAGTAATTAATGTACTATGGATCATTAGGTCCAGTAATAACATGTTATTTCAAAACCCTTTGCCTTTCTTCTGTTTCAGTACAATGCGTTAGAAATACTATAAGCCACTTTGAAGTATAGCATCTCAATAACTGAAATAATTAAAACCATAAAAAACAACTTAACAAATGAAAGATGATTTAAGAGGTCACCTACCCACATGATATCCACTGCATTTGGTGTTAAAAAGCCTGAACCTTTCCCTTTCTCATCCCTATTTCTCTCTGACACATTTTTATTTGGATATAACAAGGTAAATATAATTAATTGCCAATCAGGAATACAAAATATTTCTTTCTATTCTGTTTCTTCAGTACATTAGATCTGACTATGTATCATGCCCTGTTCCAGGACAGGTGCAAGGAAATTGTATGACCTTTATTTTTAAAACTGAGCGGAGATTTGTTTAGAGCTCTACAGAGTATAGCCTTTGTTGTGTTGCCTAAAAGGCTGTGGAGGAAAAAAAAGATTCCAGACCAAATTAGGTAGGAGGGAAGATAAGCATACAAAAGACTTTAATGAGCTTCCAGGAACACCACCACCAGGTGCTCCCAAATACAGGTGTTTATAGTTTTGATAATGATTTTCACCCAATTCCCGTCTGGCCACTGCCCAGGTTCTGCCCCCTCAACATGCCTTTTGGGAATTGAGTCGGGGGGGAGTTTTGGGATTCTCTCTTCCTCATCTTCTTCAGAACACGTGCTGTTCTTGGAGGCCTTCCAGAGCTCTGGGTCCAAAGGTTGTTGTGCTTACGGCTATATCTTCTTGCACAGATTTTAGGGTGTTTTCTACAATTCTACCTTGAAAATGAGACTAAACAGGCTAATATAATTTAGGGGAATTGATAGGGGAATGGGTAAATGGGTTTGCTATGCGTAATTGCTGTATTAAAGAGTAAGGGATAGTATGCTGCTACTTTAAAATCTACATTCACTATATAACTACTTCTAAAATCTACAAAATTAAAAAAAAAAAAATCAAAACTCTAGGGCGTCAGTTGCATGCCAGGGAAGAATGTTTGGAGCTGCCAGTATGGAAACCCACTGCAGCTTTTGATCTCCTCTTTTTGATGGTGGTACTGACAGAATAGTTACACCTGTAATTTTATCCTGTTCTCAGTTAGAATATGCACAATGCAGTCAGCTGAAGGAGATGTTTTGGAGCTCATATGATGCTAATAAGGGATTTGATTAGAAGAGTGAAACATCACAATGCTTTCAGAATTTTATATTAAATGTTGCTTTTAAACAAGGAAGAGTTCAACATGAAGACTTGCAACAACTTTAAGTGAAAATTGTGCAGGTGTGATTTTCCTTTCCTACACCTTTTAAATAAATAATGATCTTTCCTGAGGCCTTTTGTCTTTAATGTTCATGAATGTGGACACTTTCTGAGAAAACATTTTCTTTGCGTTACAGGTCATTAAGTTATGGTGCCATAGGAGTAATTGTTGGCCATGAGTTTACTCATGGATTTGATAGCAATGGTGAGTGTTTAACTGTATGTTGATAACTTTTTTTTACAGAGCTGACAGATTAGATAGCTGACTTCTATATGTTATACTTTTTTGTATTCTTTGGGGTTTTTTTAACAGTGCTGCGTTGTGTGAACCAATTATAAAGTTGTATTTATTAGATTTATTTACATAGAGTATTGCTTGTCCGAACTGGATTTGTTTGGTAAGAAATGCAACAAGTTTGATTCTTTCTGTTTGTCTTGACTGAAAACTAAATCAGTAAGAGATTCAGAAAGTCCCGATTGGGGAAAGTGCGAAGGGGAAAGGGGTAACTTCTGATTCATAGAAATTACTTCCAAGAAAACGTTTTATTTCAGCTTTGATGTTTTTCAGAAGATAACTATGAAACTTTAAAAATAAAATACTGGAACAAGAGTGGTACAAAAAAGGTGTAGCAAAATATTAAACTTAAAAAAAAAAAAATGGTCTGAAACTGTCAATCCAGTTGTCCTGACAAACTGGATGGAGTGAGGCATTACTACTATCTAGCTTTGGCTATCTCATCAAAGTAAAGTAGTTCTAAAAATTAGGCTCCTGAGAGAAAGAGGGTGGGGAGGGTAGGGAGGAGTGGGGCAGAGGGAAAGAAATATGAACCTCCTCCAGCAAGAAATTTTGAGTTGGCTTATGTTGTGTTACATTGAACACCTTAAAAAAAACCCAAACAAAACCAACAAAACCAAGCAAAAGCCAAACAAATAAAACCAAAGCAAACAAACAAAAAAAGAAAACCTTATATCCTAGAATCCTTTTGGCACTGCTCTACAATATTTTGTGTCAGCAAACACTCCAGAATGAAGATATTTCTCTTCCTAAACTCCCACCTCCTGAGTAGGTAAGTATCTAATCTCCATCTTGTCTCCTGCCAATCAGAAAGGAACCTAAGATTTGATTCCCTAAGCAGACCACAACTTTTTGCCAGGTGCTTACCTTCCAAATATAGAAATAAATACATCTCTAGAGAATTCGTCATCTTGAACAAGAGAGGGCACAGGGAAAAAGAAAAGAAATAAAAAGATGGAAGAAAACATTTTAAGTACTTAATATCATGTCTATCAGTTGCTACTTACCTCTCTTCATCCACATGGGCAGCTAAACCTGCTTTCAAAGGAGTCCAAACACATCTTGTGTCTGACTGGCTGGAGTCATGATGGAGATTAGATATTCTTCTGCAAATGAAGGGAGCAGGGATCTGACACTGAAACTTCCAGGAGCCAGTACTGTAACCATCAGCCTGGGGAATGGGATGTATGTATTCTCCTTGTTTCCATGAATAGTGTTCAAATGTCCTGGGTTTGCTCCAAAATAAAAAATGGACACTTTAGAAGTTTCCATGAAATGGATTGGTTTTTTGATCTAGGGTAGAATTAATTAATAATAAATTAGTTATCATCACATTTGCAGAATTAAAGACATATGGGCTGAGGATGAGAAATATTCACAATTATACTTACAAGAAAGCTCAAATGCCTCTTACACTGTGTAATTATAAAATGTACTATAGAACTCATTAGTCATTACTATCTTTTTCTGCAAATGGAAATAATGGCAATAAATAGAATGCCAGCTTTTCATTGCTCTACTTGAGTGGGGTCAAGATTTTGCTCACTGATCCTATCTGTTTTGTACACACATTTGCATGAGGACATTCACCTCTCATTTCTCTGCAGGTGATAGATTCCTAAACTGCAAAAGTTTTCTCCTGCAAAAACATTTGATTTCTTTCTTTCCTTTTTGAGGTCGGAAATACGACAAAAATGGAAACTTAGACCCTTGGTGGACAACTAACTCTGAAGAAAAATTTAAAGAGAAAACGAAGTGCATGATTGATCAATACAACAATTACTACTGGAAGAGAGCTGGCTTATATGTATGTAAACAACCAGTGACTGAAAACAGTAGTACATTAGGAGTTTTGGTTGTTGTGCCTCTTTTTTTTCTTTTTAAGTTCTCTTCTTATAAATCCCAGTGTATTGGGATATTAGGCTCCAAACTTCATTTCTCACAACAAATGATTTTTTGAAGTGAATAATTGTGTTAAAAATTGTCTGTCAGATTTGATTAGTCCAGTCAAATACCACTACCCACACCCCAGTGACAGGGTTAAACTACTTCTCCCCATCACATTGTTTTGGAATCAGAGGAAGAGGATGAAGCCACTCGGCAGGGCTGGCCTAATTATTGTGAGCATGTTAAATGTCTTCTGAAGATGAGGTCTGTAATGGAAACTGAGCAGTCACTATTTTTAGAAAGAATATAATACCATGTTTTATAGATTTCTTTAGCAATTCTACCTATTATTTATTGCGGCTATAAAATGGATGCATAAACCCTACTTTATTTCAGGTTCAAGTCTGGCAATTTCTTCCATACGTGCACACAGACCCCATTTGTATGTCTAATCAAAGGGGTATGATAGCAGTAGCTCATTGAAAAGGATTGAGAAAGAAAGTGCAAGGGAATGGTTTCTGTTTCATTCTTTATCAGAGCTATGGGTTTTCCTGAAAGCCTAAAATGTCCAAAATGAAGATAAGTAGGATAAATCCCAGACCTTCAGAAATTAATAGCTGAAATTCCAATAATGTTGGCTGGGACATGATTTTAATCTTAATTTTCAGGATAAAATACATACTCCAGTCCCCACTCGATTCTATGACCTCTATTTACATTTTAGAAATACTGTTTTATCTTTGCCTTTTAAGAATAGAGAGGTCACATGTAATGCTCAGCAATAATTTTAACACTTTTCCCAGGCTGTTTGTGTTAGTCTCAGAGACAACAAAGCCATGTTGTGGTTCAGTCTGAAGTCCAGCAACTCAGACTTGAAGTACTTCCTATAAGCTAATTTAAAAATAAAAATTCTCAGGCTCATTCCTGAATATCTGTAGGACAAAAACTGTCAATACAAAAATGCTACTTAAAGAAGGTCATTAAAACCTTCCCCAGGGATGTGGCTGAGCACTTTCCACGCCTCTGCCACTGGTTTAGCCACTTAGCTTTATATTCTGCTCTGTCTCTTGAGGTGAGGTAGGTCTGAATTTCTTCTCTGGTGTAGCTACTGCCTTTGAAGTCCATGGATGAGCTTACTAAAGAGATCCTGTTACCCACAGCCTTGTCATCCCATTCCTTCTATTTCCATAGGATAACTAAAAGCACTTTTTAGATGATAGAAAAATCTTCATATTTTCTGCCATATTTTATAGCTTTCATATGAAGAGCTATGCAAGCAAAGATTTCTTTTTTTTTTTTTTATTTTTGCCTGTCACATCAATATTCTGCAGGTTTTTTACCCCTGTATGAATATTTTTCATGGATCAAGAAACCTATTTACTCTTCTTCTTTCTCTTCTTCAGAAGAGAAGCGTAATGAAAGAAAAAGTGAATATAGAAATAGCTTCAGAGTGCAATAATCACACAAAGTCATCTCATCAAATAAAGGGCTTATCGTGGTCCCTGAGCCCTGTCACAAACTGTCTGCACAAACTAGTCTCAAATACTTGATCCAGAGATGCCTGAGGTCAGCAGAAAGACTTCTTCCACTTATTAAAATGACCTGTGGCCCAAGTGTCACTGTTAGGTTACTCTCATCTTGCACTCTAAATCAGTCTCCTTCACAAGGCAACTGCAAGGAAAGGCCAGAAAGAGAAGGAAGCTGGTGTGTGTGAATATTCCCTGGTGTTCCAGCACCTTTTCTCCTAAAAGCTTCTCTTTCACCTCCATCTCCAATCTCCTGAGGGGAGGGGAGAGCTGACAGGAAAGGGTTGGCCTTTCCTCTGATGCTCCCATTTCTCCTTTATTGCACCCTTGGGTGTAACATTACCCAGGGCATCAAGCAACTTGTCCAATCTGGGTGCTCATCTGCACTGAGTAGTGGGGCACAAGTACATAGCTATCTCCTTGATCTTTTTACCTCTTCTGCTCCATTTATGCCTTTTTTAGCATCCTGAAACTAAGGTGAGCCTGTTTTACTAATCCCTGTGGCATGGGAAAGCCTGTAGCTGCAGGCCAGCATTGACCTTCACAGCTCTGCTAAAAACTCTGCTCAATTATTTTGCTTATTCAAGGCATAATAGAGAGCAAAACTGCTTAATTACAGTTACAGTTGGTAACACTAAGACCTCAGTAGGTTGGGTGAGCAGAGATAATGCTGATCTAGCAGAAATTAGGATTTCTTCACGATGGTGTTGCATTTGGTAGTGTCAGCAGACCGTGTTTCTCACGAAGTTTATATAGTGCTGCTTCTTGCAATATATTGTTGTTGCTGTTGCTCTTGCTCTTGGAATCAATACCAGGGAGAAGCAACAGGAATCTTCTTTGCAGATATTTTTAGAGCACTGAATATACTATCAATTTTAATTCTGTCTCTGACAGTTATTTTTAATTATGCTTGTTTATGTTATGACTTAAAAGTTATTTTAGTATCCTAGTATTTTATGAAGAATTATATAGAGAAATAAATATAACCTTTTAGAGAGAAGTTTAAAAATGGGGCTACTGGATCTCACATGTAACCAGATAAAAACAGTCCTCAGGGGGAAATTACTGACACTCAGATCAAAGATCAGGGACTGGATTCTTGAGTGCATTTTATCTATTATATTTTGTGCTACATAGATCTAGGATGAGAGCCAGAAAATTGTTTACTGACAGTTTTCCCATTGAAACCCTGTTTTCTTAACCAAAATTATGGTTGTTGAAATTGGCTGAGGTCATTCTCTCCTTATTTTACTCTTTCCCCATTCTTGAAATTGATCAAGAAGGAAGTTCAGAAACGGCTCAAATGACTGATGTTCTTTCATTCTGTCAGGTGAAAGGGAAGAGGACTTTGGCAGAAAACATTGCAGATAATGGAGGCTTGCGAGAAGCTTTCAGGGTAAGTAGGTGAAAAATATCTGAAATATAGCACTATGAAAAAAAAGCTGTGGTTATCTTCATGTTGCTGAAAGGCACTGCGTATCTCCTTCTTATCAGGCATACAGGAAATGGATTACAGAAAAGAGGGGAGGAGAAGAAGAGCCTTTGCTGCCAGGCCTTGAGTTCACACACAACCAGCTTTTCTTTCTGAGTTATGCCCATGTGAGTAGCACAAATGTGTTTCAAGTCCCCATCTATTTAACCTGCACAACGTACAGTGCAGAGATGAGCCTGCTTTGTTTCAACAATCTACAGGATCCACACCCAGACTTTTCAGAATATAAACAGACACTCCTCACAGGACTATTATTTCTTTTCTCTTTTTCCCTTTGTCCTCATCTATCCATTGTGCCAGAACTCCTGAAATTATTTTTGGGTTTGCATAGTGTTGTTACAGCAGGTTTCTTTATTCTTGCTACTTCCCTCCACTAAGAGGGTCTTCTTGTGAGTATTGACTCCTTAGCCTCCTTCAGTTTTCCCAGATTTTTGGTGCTTGCAATACAAAGCAGTTTCTAACTGCTTCCACCACAGACTCCTATCGAAAATGTACCACCACTATTTATTACTGTTAATGTTGTTCAAGGAAACTAAGCAGCAGTGAAGAGAGTCTCAGCTTATTTTTTCCCATCTGTACACTAAATACGTTGTAATGAAACTTTGATAAGGGGCGTGAATCTTTTAGAAAAAGATGTAGAGGTAGGAGAGAATCAGAAATTATTTATTTGGTTAAACAAGTTGGGACAAACTCCCTACGTGAGAAGTAAAAGTTGGACTATAAAACTTTGTGCACCAGTTGAAGGAACGAAATCGTCCCAAACTGAAGAAAAAGCACCCAATGCAATCAGTAATGGCTGAAAATCATTTCTCTGGTGAGAACCAGTGTAACAGCCTATGGGCCTGTGGCCATTTCAATTTGACAATATTGGGCAAAGAAAAGGTTCCACTTTGGTCGTTTATGGTGAATTAAGTTTCCCACTGTGAGTTTTTCCCCAAGAAATTTTTGAAGTTATGGGGGTATTACAGGATCACTGCAGCAATTGCATGTCCAGTGGAGCCTCACAGGGGAGACACAGGCACAGCGAGAGCAGGGTAGGCAAGGTACCCTTGAGCTCAGCCTATTTCCACAGAGCTCCAGACGCTGAATACTTATTCAAACTGTCAGGGCTGTCTTCAGCCAGACAAAATTGCACTGAAGTCCAGTGAAATCCTATGGGCTATCTGGCTTAAAGGATTTTGTTGATAGGAACATTCAATGCAGAGAGTTGGGTAAGGGAGGGGCAGCTTAAATGAGATTTTTTTATGCAATGGATACAGTATTAGAGGGATTATTCAGCTGTGCAAGTATTCTGTCTACCCTGTTTTGTAGTCAGTTACAATTGGGTTAAGTATCTTATCAGAATTAGTGAATTAGGGAACACTGATGAAAGTGTGGAAAATACGTAATTTCAAAAGAAACTGACATTTCAATGTGGAATAAATATGTCAGGTAATTTATCTGCAATTCTAGAGATGATAAGCATCATTATATGTACCTTTTATACAAATTACATAGCTTTGAGGCCAAGAAGTATGCTTGGTAGTTATTAAAGTGTGAGATGCTGCAGCAAAAGCTAAAAAGGAAACTACCATTATAGAAAACTTCAAAAAAAGAACTAGTAAAGTGATTGTGATTAGATGATGGGATAGAGTGGGTAGAGAAAAACAGTGGGTGCATCCATTAGAGGATTTGAAAAGCAAGAGAATATACCAACAGAAAACTGCAGATTAGTAAAGGTGAGACAAAGCAGGAATTTACGGTGTCTTTCCATTTAATGCATTCTATAAGTAATAGGCATCTTAAGAACAGTGACATTACATTCTACTTTACTTACAAAGTCGTCCCAGATAATGTGCCTGTTTCTTTTTTTTTATATTTTATTAGGTAAGATGCAACTCCTTTAGACCGGAATCTGCGAGGGAGCAAATATATACTGGAGCTCACAGCCCTCCACAGTTCAGGTAGTGCAAATAATGCATTTCCTTGGTATACATACAGAATCAATCACTGCAGAGCAGAAGTGCAGAAATTTAGCATTTTAAGAGGGGGTTAAGAGCAAGCACAAAATTGGACTGTGCTCTTGGTTTAGATTGAAATTGAACTGGTTTTATTAGCTTATCTTTCACTATTACAAATGCTCTTCTGTAAAATTGAGGAGCTTGCATCTACCTTCAAAAGCATTTGAACTAGAATGCACTCTGATCCCTGTGATGTCCTTTAATCATGGCCTGAGTATGTAAAATGCCTCATCTATCACTTTTTTTCCCTAAGCAATTCTAGTTTAGAAAACAGTGACTATTAGGAGGGTCCTTGATTTAATCTGCCTGAGTTCATTAAAAGCTTCTAAGTGACTACCCTGAATTTTATTGATAAAGGAAAGCTAAACATGCCCTGTAAATTCAGTTTGAGACTAAACTCTTCCATTGGCCTTCAAGTGACACTTTGGTTGAAGGAGCTGTGATAGTCCAGCCATAAGAGAGTAACTGTGTCTTTGCCCCAAAGGCCTCCCACAGGCTCCCCTAACCACAGACACTCATGAAATCCAAGGAGAGGTTGGAAGAGGGGTAAGTTTTAAAGACTACATAGGAATTAGGAAGCCAGAGTTTATTTCTCTGCTTTTTGACAGAGTTTGTGTGACCAAGAACAAGTTGTTTCTGTTGGGATTCATGTTGGTTTCATTTACTTAACTAAGAATTGTATGTTTGCCCTCAGTCAAGTTCTACATTACCTCTTTATCTGGAGGAAAGATGTTAACTCCACAAGCTGATTCATAGTGAAAGCGTCTCCAATACAGTATTATATATATAATCTTTCATCAGGTAATAAATTTCAATTACTTAGACTCTGCAAGTACATCTTTCTATTGATTACCAAGGGAGCTCAGGGTAACCTATTCAGGGAAAGGTGTCTCTACTTTAATTCAGTGGGATCAAATCCAAACAGCCCACTCTGATTTCACAGCTAATGTGTGGCAATATCAAACCATGGATAGAAAAGTGGCATGCATGCACACATAAAGATATTTTGCTAGATAGATTCTGGTTTTATTTCTTTTTAATTGGCAGATTTTCAGTATGAACATGTGTCTTGGCTATATTTGGATGGCAATTTCACATTGAAATCCTTGGTATGGCAGGCAGAATTCCCACCAACTTCAGCATCAGTTCTGCATGACCAGCTCTTGCTGTTCTAGTCCCTGAATATGTATTTGCAATATTTTTATAGTAAAACTGTATATCTTGTTTGAAGCTTAAGCTTTGCAATCCTCCCTACAAAACTGACCTTTAGATATTTTCGTGCCAGATGCCAGCAAATTTTCTTACTCACAGAAAGTCTAATCAATGTAATAAGAATGTTTTCTACCATGCTGTGCTATGCTTAGAAGCTGATTCTCTGCAGTATAGAAAAATGCCTTCTCAGTACATAACAAAGACAACAGAAAGGCATACAATTAATAACTCAATAGATACTTTTCTGTTCTTAACTGAGGAAACTCTTTAATATCACTGCAAATTTCAGGTTAGCAAGTTCCAGGATGTTTGAAGGCAAAGGAAAAAGCAGCAAACAACACAACCTTAATCTAGCAATGGTAAAATAATAATTTGTGACAGCATCAAATAATGAAGACATGAAAGCAGGAGCCCTGATTGCACACAAATGCAATGAAGGTGCCAGTCTATGATGCAGACACATTGTTTATCTTGTATGAGGCATAGATGTGCTACCCTTTCAGTACCACACCACCTGTGGTGGAAGCAAGAGAGCTTGGGAGCTGGTCAGGGCAAAAGGCTCAGAAAAAAGTATATCCAAATATCAGAGGAGCTGAGATGCTCACAGGTGAAAGGCTGAGCTGCCCAATAAGAGGGTCCAACTGCCCCCTCAGGCTGTGAAGTCCCAGCGTGTGTGTGTGCACATGATGGGCAGAGCGTGTTGTTATGAGAGGCTGACTGACGTGATCGACATGAAACCACTGCCAGCACAACCCCAGTGTGTGCTTACACGCACATGCCTGTTGGACTGCAGCAGCTGGCAGGTGCTGGAAGAAGGATTTCACTGTGCAAGGCTACTGCTGATCTCCCACCCTTGCTGCCAAGGGTCAGATTAGAAAATTGTTCTAGAGGACATAGTATCACAAAATGCATTTGGTTTTCATTGAGTTTTTAGAAGTGCAAGATGATTCTAAAAGCACCAAATGAAATAACATTGTCTTCATATTAACTTTAACTGGCAGTGCTTCTCCTGAACTTTTTGGTTTTATTTGTGGAAGTATTATATGAAAGCCTGAAAATTCAACCCAAAGTGAATACACTGAAACACTTGCAGATCTGTGGTGTTTAACAGAAGGCAAGCTGTGTGTTCACCCCTTTTCTCTTTGCAGAGTTATCGGAGCCATGAGCAACTTTGAAGAGTTCCGTAAAGCTTTCAATTGCCCGAGGAATACGACGATGAACCGAGGGGCAGAATCCTGCCGGTTGTGGTAGATGTCCCTGCCAGTCTTCTGTCAAGAGGAGTCTGCAATGTGCAATGTGAACTGCTGAGCTCAAGCCCTCTGCTAGAGTTTCAGAATTATGTTCTTGAGAGGTGTTACTTCAAATGCATCTTCCTTATCCATGTTGATGACCATCATGAATCTAATCATCCCTACTTAGAGCCTAGAAACACTCCAAATAGAAGAGGTTTCCTTTAATGATAATAATAAAAAGCAACTCCTTTTATCCATAAAACTACTCCTGCTCATCTGCAGTTGCATTGCTTTTGATGGATAACTGCCATTATCAATTCTAATTCCTGATTTATGGTTGAGCAAGAGGTAAATGCTAAAATCCAGTTTTAATCTATTGCTCTGCAGGGGTGCTGTGCAGAATGCTCCCCCACAAAATTTATTCTTCCTGGATGAAGAAATTCATGAGACCTGCTATAAAGCCAGATCTGATCTGCTGAGTGATACAACATTTTCATAACTTAAACTGTCACAGCCCAGCATGCCATAAATGATGTTGTGTGATGTAAAGACACAAGACTTTATATAAATTCAGTTTAATATGTCAGATTAGTGCCTCCGGTTTTGGAACGGTTTCAAACTGAGAAAGTACCTCGTGGTATCCATCTGCTATGACTAAAACACAAAGGATACTTGTCAGATTGTGGCCTCTTCTAATTTTAGAACAGCTTATGATAAAAATCAATGTATGATGAAAATCAAAGGCTTGCAGAGGGAATTCCCAGCACCATGATACTCATAAATATTGCAGCATTTATTCCTGTTTACGCTGTGGATAGTTTTTTTCCCAGGGGGTGATTTCTACCTTGTGCTGAAGATAGCTTTACCTACATTAATTTTTTAAGCCTGAGATACTATACCAGTTGCAAGTTATGGGTATTTTATTGTTGGGTCTTACAGAGGATTGTAAGTAGTGTGCATCTTTGCCCTCATGTTCTGGATGGGGCAGGATGATTTGTGATTTTAAAGAAAGAAGAATATGTGACAGAAAAGTAGATTACCAGCAGCATTTGACTTGTCTGGATAAAAAGAGCAGTTTAGGAATAGAGGACTTATAAATACACTAAAAATTCAGGCCAGGTGAGTTTTTAATTTGATTTCTAACAATGTTCATGAAAAAACATTTTATTGAAGAGAAAAACTTTAGTGCATAACTATTAGTGGGACACACACACAAAACAACTCTTTTCTAACAGAAAGATACTTATTTAAGTGATAAATATTTATACCTTGTGCATTAACTCATTTTTACATGGTGGAATTTCTTTAGATTTAATTACTGCAAATCCATATAGGTCTCTGTGTGTTAGTACTTTTATATATATATACAAAATATATAAATTCTTCTATATGCTTAAATTTTATTTTATCAGTATAGAAGTGTTAGTAAGTTAAACTTTTTTTACAATGATTTGTCAAATATTGTTGGATAAAGAGTTGGTTGGATGGCCACATGCAGAGGGTAGTGATCAATGGCTCAGAGTCCTGATGGACATCAGTGAAAAACAGTGTCCCTCAGGGGTCCATGTTTGGACCAGTGTTATTTAACAGCTTAATTAATGACAGATAAACGGATCAAATGCACCCTCAGCAAGTTTGCAGATGACACCAAGCTGAGTGCTGTGATTGCCACACCTGAAGGATGGGATGCCATCCAGAGGGACCTGGACAAGCTCAAGAAGTGGGCCCACGGAAATCTCATGTAGTTTAACAAGACCAAGTGCAAGGTGCTGCACTTGGATTGGGGTAACCCCCCTTATCAATACAAGAGGATCAGGAGCAGCCCTGTCGAGAAGGACTTGGGGCTGCTGGTGGGTGAGAGGTTGGCCATGACCTGGCCATGTGCACTTGCAGCCCAGGATGCAACTGGCTTTCTGGGAACTACATCCATCTCTGTGGTCCCCAGCACAGGAAGGACATTGACCTGTTGGAGCGAGTCCAGAGGAGGCCACCAATAAGGCTGGACAACTGGAGCACCTCTGCTATGAGAAAAGGCTGAGAGAATTGGGATTGTTCAACCTGGAGAAGAGAAAGCCTTGGGGTGACCTATTTGCAGCTTTGCAGTCCCTGAAGGGAGCCTACAAGAAGGATAGAGACATACTATTTACAAGGACATTCAGTGACAGAAGAAGAGGGTATAGTTTCAAACTAAAAGAGAGTAATTTTGGATTAGATATTAGGAGGAAGTTCTTTGCTGTGAGGGTGGTAAGACACTGAAACAGGCAGCCCAGAGAAGCTGTGGGTGCTGCATCCCTGGAAATGTTCAAGGTCATGTTGGATGGGGCTCTGAGCAACCTGGTCTAGTGGAAGGCAGTGGGTTGGAATTAGATGACCTTTAAGGCCTTTTACAACACAAATCTTTCTATGATTTTATGATTGTCCATCAGTCAAGGTGGAGGAAGGTTTACTGAAGCTAAGTAACTGAAGTAAATGGGATTATTTTCTTATGTTTCTTTATAAAGAAGAGGGACATAATAGAAACATAGTTTATGGAAAAAGACAGAATCTCAAACTACCTTGCAGAGTAAAGGAAGCAGACATTCCCAAAGGCTCTATTGCCACTTTTTGGAAACAAAATATTATAGTTTGGAACCAGAATATTCTTTTATCAATTTTCCCTGAAAAAGTCAAAGTTTTCTTAAGAGGAAAAGCATTTTTGCTTCCTTCATGCAAGCTCTGTTCCTGAGTTCCATGGATTAAAATTTATCATTTGAATTGAATCTAAAACAACTACTAAATATTTTTTTCTAGTTGTATTTTTTCAAGTAAATTGTGAGGCAGTATTTTAATAGGGCTTTTCCTCCAACAAGCAGGTATGGGTCTTCAGCAAAGGGATACTGTTTGCCTGCTAATGGGAAAGTTCCTTAGAAAATTGAGTGCTGGAGTGACTTCGTTTCTGTACTCATATGAGCAATGACATGATGTTGATTGCTTTGGATCAACAGCACAAAGTTCAGGGTCGACATCCTGGCCCCATTAAAGGTAGTACCAATACGGTCGTTGTCCTCAGAAAAGTCAGGACATCAAGTCAAACACTTATCTAAATTTGCTAAATAACTGGACTATGCAAAGATGGTTTCACAACAGTTGACTTCAAAATTTCTAATTTTATCTCTCAGATCAGAGATACATTTTCAAGAACTCCTCTCTCACGGTTATTTTCCAGTGGGGCAGATTCTGTCTTTTGTTTTTTATGGGGTTGTTTCTCTGTACTGGGTAGTGATTTCTTCTAATTGTCTGGCATTCTTGCCTCAAATGTCACTCTTCCTGCTCCTTGCTAGGCTCATGTCTTTCATGTTTAATATCAAGGATTTTTGAACTGTGGTATGTGTATTCCCAACAGCAAAGGAATCACTGCAAACTCTTTCATCTTTGCTAGGACATTTCCTGTAGGAGGCAGGGGGCAGGCTGGGCTAGGGGGATATGGGAAGCTGAAGGGTTTGAGGGAAATGCACTAGAAGAGAAGAAGAAAGCATATGACCAGATTTTGTACCCTGATTTTAGCAGTTGAGAAGGCACCTACACACTGCCAGGAAAGTCAGAAGTCCTTGTGCTGACTGGCACATTCATCAGTACTGTCCTGGTTTGGGGAATCCTTGCTGTTGACTCAGGTTTTCAGTGCCTTGGGCTTAGGTCTTTCATATGCCCATGCAAGGATCCTGGCCTGCCTCACCTGCCTGCTTGTTTTTACCTCAAGCAAACAGCTGATTATGCAATTTACAGTTCACTTTGAAGTAAGATACGTTTGTATCATTTGCAAAGCAAAGCAGAAGGTAATTAAACATGTTCTTAAAACTTGTATCACCAAGGACAGCCAAGACATTAGTGCTGGTTTGTGAGGGCTCTTCCCATTGTCTCTCTTTTATCAGACTACTTGGCTATGCTTTGTTTTCATGTTGTGCCTCCTGGGTCTATGCTAGCAGTGCCTTGCTGTGTTGCTCTCGGGTTCACTTATTATATCTATGCAAAAGGATCCTTCATCATACATACTCCTTTTCTAGAGCTTTTAAATTGTTACTTTTCTCAATTGCCAGTAATATTGTGAAATGCTTCTTCCTGTTGTCTCAGTAACCTTCTATTTCAGTGACCAGGAGGGGAAGGGTCACCTATGAGCAAAACATTTTTATCTGTGTAAATTTGAAGAGATATTTTTCTACTATGTAGACATAAAGAAACAACCTTGACTCATGTCCCATGTCCGCTTCTTCAGGTCCTAGAAATATGGAAACATTCTGTTCTATTCTAGTTTAGTCTAGTCTATTCCTTCTTTTTCTGCATTAACCCTGAAATGCAAAAACACCACCTTATACACTGTGAGTATTTCTGCTGATCCTATTGTGAAGGAGTTAGCTTTACACGAGTAGCTCTCTGAAAAGGCAGCTGTGCTATTCATCTGTATAAACTGTGTAGGTACATAAACAATGTCCAAGCTCGGTCTGGATGCTGAAGGGCCAAAAAATTGAGGTGCATTATAAAGCTCTGCCTTGTGTCCTGTGCAGGGGCACTTCACCATTCTTTAGTCTGGAATGCTATCATGACACTAATTGGTTGAATTATTTATAAAATAATCAGGTAGGTTTGCATATGAGTTTTTATTGTTATATGCATTTTTATGTCAAATTTTCATTGCATATTATATGGAGAATTATACAATGTTAAAAGGCCTTTTCTGTTTAATTCTTTTTAATCTGGATTTTTATTTGATAGTCTATTGTACATTTTAATTTTTCTTCTTGCATACTGTATTGATTGACTGTTTTAAAGACAATTGTGTTAGCCAATAAAAGCTGAAGTGATGAAGAATTTTCCTATGCTCACAGTATGGCAAGAGCTGCTTGGCTTGGCACTGTCCAACTCTACAGTGTTACTTCTGTAATATATAGTCTTAATAAAATGTAATAAAGAGCATAATGATGTGGCCCCAGGTTCTCCAGGCTACTGTTACTACTTGACAGGCTAAGAAGGACCTCCATTCTTGGAGAGTTGCATAGTCATCCTCAGCCAGGGTTTATTAAACTCCACTTGCCCTCAGTACCCTGCTGGAGGCAATTAAAATGAATGCGATGAGCTGTTGTGGACAGGACTGGATGCTGAAAAAATAGCAGAAGGCCAGAAAGCCTTTCCCAACTTCATGCCTGTCTCAGCCCATTCTTTGCTTTTCAGTTGCTTTTAAGCATTTTCTGGAAGTGTTTTTGATAGGATAGCCCTTATGCCATGCCCGAGTTT